TCATCTCAGCAAACTCCTCCATAGCACCACGACGAGAGACCGCTTCGACCTCTTCATATTCACCCCATCTCCCCTCACGACCCGATTCGGATGCGGGCTGTCCTGCAGCCATTTCCCCAGACTTCTTCGAGGGGCTTGCCCAGTCAATATGTTGTCCCACCTCATTGCCATCCGCACCATGCGGGGGTGGGAGTACCATTGTAGGTACAGTCGCAGACAAAAAATGAGGCAAATGTGATCGAAACTCTCGATCCGATAGACCTGCCCCTACCACTGGACAGGCAAGCCGGTCGCTCGTTTAGATTTCCAAGCGGGGAGTCGGATGACGATATGGCCCGAGCAACACAGTGACACCGCCCAAGCTCCCAAGCAAGCTTCGGGCGCCCAATGAAGAGGCTAGTTGTATCAAACAACTAGCACAGCAGCCAGAGGTTTGCACGGACCGCACTTGTACAGTTATGAACGAGACGGCGGAAACGTTAAAGCAGACTGACTTTTTTCTGGGGAGAAACGTTGGGTGGTGCAACCAACCAAGGTAACTATCAAAATGGATTAATTCAAGAACAGGAAATAATAAAACTGGGGGGAGAGAGGCGAGGCATTGACGCTCATCCAACTGCTCATAACTAAGTAATTGAAACAAAACACGGCCATTTTATAGGTGCATGATAAGGACTTCTGAATGGCCATTTTGAAGCATTTCGGGCATTTGTCAGACGAAAACTCAGCAGTGGAAGTTGTGATAAATCATATTTCCAATCAATCAATCCACTCCGAGCCAGGCACGGCGTCACTGTTAACTAGGTAGATAACTAACTAGTTCAACGATTTACAACGGTCGTTTCGCGTCAGATGGTATCACCGCGGCCATCCTGATCTTTCTCACATCTGATAGGCGAGACCTAGCAAACCGCGGTAATTAACCGTGTTCTCGGGTGCCTGGATCATGAGCAAGAGGAACCCGACCATGTGTTTGAATTGGCTAGAGGCATCCTGCGAAGACTCATAATGATGATATCAAGACAAAACAGACGGTGGTGAGCCCTACACCATCACCGTCCAGAGGCTCTTTGAGCCCTGCTGTGGGTTCTTCTTCCTGAGCAATCAACGCAGGGTAGGACGTTAACTGGAGTTACCGTAGTCAACTTACTGGGTTGGCCAACTCGCACTGTTCAATTACCAAAGCTGGTGACCAATCTTCAACTAGATCCCTTCTATCGTTGTTGAGCTTCTTAACGAGTGGAAATGAAACGCTGATATGTCTGATATATCTGATATGTCTCCGTTCACAAAGCTTACAAATGTTTCATTTCATAACTAACTAGTTAACTATAACTGACTAACATATTCCTCTGCGCACAAACATCCGTTCGGTCGCAGCAGCCCGACAAATCCATTGAACCAGCTCAGTTCATTTCATCTCTTCTCATCCTCCCAAACTCACCCTCTCACAGCGCAGTTGAGCACCTGCATATATAACTATCTTCTCATACACAACGCGTCCAAAGTCTCAAAATTGAGATCTCACCCCGCGCCAAACTTCTCTGCTTTCCTGGCTCTGTGAGACTATCATCACGGACTACGCCGATAATTGTCACTCTGGTCGGCAGTTGGGGTAGAGGCTGGTCTGTGGGGATGGTTACTCAAGCGAGTTGCTCACCTCGTATGTCGTGCATATCTACTGGGCTGTAGGTGCATACTCTGCAATACATATATGTGCTGTTACTTGCGGGTGTGTTCCAGGCACCTATCGATACATCCCGACTCTATGTATGATATATGCAAGTGCAACGACGCTGTGTATCCCCAAAAAGTGTAACGCTGTGACCCCCAAGGGATGGAGGGAGTGTCGACACAATAGAGGGCCGGCAGAGCGGTGATGTCGACAGTCAGTTCTGTACATACGAACAGACATCTCTACATCTATGAGACGGGGGGAGGTTGCCGATGAAGACTATACAATCCATTCGTTAAACCGCAAAGGAACATGAGGAATGGACGTGCACAGTGCCTGGGAGAATTTCCGTACCGCGGGCAGAGCAGCATCTGGGGTAGGACAGTTAAAACGTCGGCATACTTCCCTATAGCTAAATCTCGCAATCGTGGTTCTGGGGAGAGATCTCCGATGGACGTCAAATCCAACACCAATGGAAATCTTGCAGAATAGACGACATCTGTCTGAACAACTCTTCCGCGGAGCAGAACTAGTCCATTCTTGTTCTTTTCTCCGTCCAACGGTTCCTATATCGGCGCTCTCCAAACGATATAAACTCCAACAATCTGTTCCAGGGGGGCTTTATATAGAGAATTTTATCGAGAATGACATGCTGCTGTTACCGATAGCAACCTTTTAAGCCTGCCATCATTCATCCCTCCTAACCAAATTCCCCATCCCTTCTGGTCTTGACTTCTGGAATCCCTCATTCCATTTCCCACGCCGCGATCTGCCTCTGCAGGCCTTCGACTAAACACGAGCACAGCGGAGCGCCGACAGTCCCAGTCTCTATAATCGCCAATGTTGTATCTGCGTAAAAAAAAAAAGCTATTTTTCTGTTAGTGCCCGGATTTCCATCCTTCCAGAAGTCCTCTACTTGCAGCCAGCCGACTTACCCCATATATCATCCATCCCCCAGCTTTCTCCCATTTGTCGTCCAAACCATCCAAAATCACAGAGAGCTCACATGACAGAGCACAGGCACTTCACATGGAAGCAAAGCTGGGGGGACACCTGGGAAAATCCCGAAATAGTCGCACTGTACAACAACAAACCCACCCGTATCCGTATTGTAGCCATAGCTCCCTCCTATCCTTAACCCCCCGAA